ATTCCACCTCTCGCATGTGATGTCTGAGCAGCAACGCCGCTCGGACATCACACACGAGAGGTCATTCCAGCTCTCCCAGCGTTTAGGGGCTCTTTAAAAAGTTATGTCCGCCGATGCTGTTGGCGGCAGCTGCAACGGCCGCGGGGGGGGGGAAACGTATTCCCCCGCTTCCCTGAGCCCCGGGGTGGTGGCCTTGGACTCCTAGGGGCAAATTCCACCTCTCGCGTGTGATCACCTCTTGCAGACATCACACGCGAGAGGTCATTCCGGCTCTTCCAGCTCTCGTTAGGGGCTCTTTAAAATGTTATGGCCGCCGACGCTGTTGGCCGCAGCTGTAACAGCCATGGGGGAGGCCCCCGAAACGTTCCCCCGCTTCCCTGAGCCCCGGGGTGGTGGCCTTGGACTCCTAGGGGCAAATTCCACCTCTCGCATGTGATGTCCAACACACGCGAGTCATTCCGGCTCCCCCAGCTCTCGTTAGGGGCTCTTTAAAAAGTTATGTCCGCCGATGCTGTTGGCGGCAGCTGCAACGGCCGCGGGGGGGGGGGAATGTTCCCCCGCTTCACTGAGCCCCGGGGGGGGGGCCACTCTGACATCACACACTCAAGAGGTCATTCTGGCTCCCCCAGCTCTTGTAAAGGACTCTTTAAAAAGTTATGGCCACCGATGCTGTTGGCCGCAGCTGCAACAGCCACGAGGGTGGGCAAAACGTGAGAGGTGGAATTTGCCCCTAGGAGTCCAAGGCCACCACCCCGGGGCTCAGGGAAGCAGGGGACGTTCCCCCCCCCCCGCGGCCGTTGCAGCTGCCTACTCTCCATTATTCTCTATGGGCACTCATATATTCCCTATGGGCAATCGCTGTCCTTAGTTTTAGTACGTCCCGCAATAACATATTAGCACTTAGAATCAACAGTCAGTGGTACAGCAACAGTACTACTTGGGTATATGGCAACTCTGCAAAATATGAGAAATAAATGGAATTTATCAGACTTGGTTAAGTGTCCATCAGAAATACTTCAGACCACATATTAGCAACTGGTGGTGCCAGACCCAAAGATGGATCTCCCGTTTTCAAAACAAAAGAGCGTCTTAAAGATTGAAGAATTTCTTGTGGACTGAAGCTTATGCAATGATAACATCTGTTTAGTCTTTCAAGGGCAAAGTTGCTGCGGGAGAGGCACAGAAGGGGGGTGGATTATCCGGGTGTGATCACACCCCAACATCTGGGAAGTGGAGCGCACCCATGGCTTACCGCCGACAATGCGCGCTAAAAAACGCGAACCTCCTCCAAGGTACTAGTAAACGTTTGCCACAGGCTACCTCCAGATGCCCGTGATGTGAGCACGCTCCGGTCCCTCGTTTACCTGCCGGAGTCTGATCGCATAATCACGAATCAAACTGCGCCGGGGCGATTAGCCACGCCTCCCCCCACGATATCTGGCCCATGTGACGGGGCCATAGATAGCTAAGGCTCCTGCTTATTTTTGCTGCTACAGACCAACACGGATTCTACTCTGTAATATACTTCACACAGTAGTCCTGCAGAGGAGCAGCTGTCAGCCGTCGCCTGTATAGTCTCAGCCACAACTGGATATAATGACCCTGGAGTGTTTGTGGGAGGAAAAATGGATGCCTCAATGTTACATCGGAAGTAGGTCCCGAATCGAAAGCCGGCGATAGTCTGAGGCCGATGGAGGAACTGCCCCGTCTCTCCAAAAAAAAACCCCTCCCCGGTAGACTCACCCAGGGAGTCACTGTTGGTAGTAACCAAGCAGAGCTAGACCAGCGGGGGCCGGCTGAAAGGGGGCCAGTGCCTTATGGGAAATGTGGTTTCTCGCTTGCCTGTTTACAACTCCCGAAGAGCCTTTCGAAGTA